CCACAAACTTCTTTTTCTTTCAGCCATGTGGACACTGCATTGAAAAAGTCCCACTGAATGTTTACGTCCAGTTTGAAACACATATTTTAAGACAATCTTGGATTCCCCTTAATTTACTTGGTAGTTTGGGGCCATTCTCAGTTCTTTAAGCCAGAAACCTTAAATGTGTTCATTGAGGTCAGTTCATCAACTTTTATGGAATTTCTCCCCTGAGCCATAGAAGAGCAGGGCTCTGGGGGGCAGTAGGAGACTCTCCAGGAACAATGCTATGATCTGTAGTTGCAAGGAGCTATGAATTTAGGATGTAGAGAGCCAGGAACACACAATTAAATTCCGGCAGTTTCCAGGCCCTTGGTTAATATTGAGATTCTGGGTAGTTGCATCTCCACCAGGGTCATTAGAGGAATCAGAGATGGTGGCATCATGTGAGTTACACTGACCTCTTTAGTAAAATACCCTATAAAAGATGTCCTATGGGCCTCAAAATCTGCCTAACTTCTCAGGGCATCCCAGCCCCTCTCTTGTCAGACAGCTAAACTTTCTTTGACCCTCTTCTGCAGTGATGGCATAATTACATCCCATGATATATTTTTGCATAACAATTGCTTCTATTATTGCTTCTAACAATTTGCTTCTATTATTCTTTGATTCTTCTGTATCAGGGGTCCACGGTACCGGTCCATGGCCTGTTAGAAATGGTGCCGCACAGCAGGAGGTGAGTGGCAGGCGAGACAGTGAAGCTCCATCTGTATTTACAGCCGCTCCCCATCGCTTGTGTTACTGCCTGAGCTCCGCCTCCTGTCAGATCAGCGGCGGCATTAGATTCTCATAGGAGCGTGAACCCTACTGTGAAATGTGCATGTGAGGGATCTAGGTTGTGTGCTCCTTATGAGTATCTAATGCCTGATGATCTGAGGTGGAGCTGAGGCGGTGATGCTAGTGCTGAGGAGTGGCTGCAAATACAGATTATCTTTAGCAGAGAGGTCTGACTGCACAGGGACCATCACAAATCAATTACTTGCAGGCTCATATCAAAACCCTATCAGTGAGTGGCAAGTGAAAACAAGCTCAGGGCTCCCACTGATTCTGCATTCTGGGGAGTTGTATAATTATTTCATTATATACTACAATGTAATAATAATAGATATAAAGTGCACAATAAATGCAAGGCCCTTGAATCATTCCACAACCATCCCCCCACCGACCCCAGTCCATGGGAAAATTGTCTTCCACGAAACCGGTCCCTGGTGCCAAAAAGGTTGGGGACCGCTGTTCTATATTGTGATGTGAATGAGATTGCCCAGCAGAGCAGAAATCTAAGAATCTATATTAAAACCATCATGAAACAAACATAAATTTTTGGAAAATATTTCCCTAGTTGAACCCTCAAGTTAGTTTATAAATTGTTGAAAATTCTGGTTCTTTTTCTGGCCAACTTCCTGTTAGTCTGAAAGATTTGGGCTGACCATAGACCTCCTTGCATTACCTGTCTCCTCTTTTGACTTTTTATGTCATGCAATTTACTAACCTAGCAAACCAACCCTCAACTCCTCCATTCACTCAGTAAGTATCTGTAGGTCCCACGGTGTGGCAAGCATTGTGCGAAAAGCTGGGGCCTCAGCATCACTTTCCTTGACCTTAGCAATGTCTTTCTCCCTCACAAGGGGAACAAATATGAAAACAAATAAATATCATGACTCAGTGCTCTATTGTAGGAGAAGTATGTACAGGACACACAGAGGACCCTAAGGTCAGTGCCCACTTCTGCAGGACAGTAGAGGGAGACAGAAGAAGCTTCATCTCAAGAAGTGATGGTTAACCTGGGCCATGAAAACAGGTTCTGGAAAGAGGAGATTAGACAAGAAATGATGAGGAAGGACATTCCAGGCACAAGAAAGGCTTGGAGATGAAAATCCACAGAAATAGGCTCATTTACGTGACTAGTCTTTTTACGTTACAATTGGGAGAGTGTGGGTCCAATAGGAGACTATATGTCTTTGATTACAATAGTTTCCTTTCATTTTATACCTGCCTTCTGCAATTTTCCTGGTCCCAACCTCCTTAATAACAAGGAGTAGGGTTATATTCATCTAACACAGCATCTCACACATTTAGGCAGTCCTTAAACATGCGTTGGGTGAATGAATACCATAAACCCACTGGTCATTATCCAGTTTAAGGGCTATCCTTTGCCCCGGAAACTAGTTCTGAATACACTTCATATAATGACAGCAGCCACTTTCCATAGAAATGTCTCCACCTTAGAACTCCAGGGAGAGAGGGGCAGGCTGGGCCAGCAATTTTGCTAAAAGAGGCAGGAGGGATGCACATGATCTAAATAGGTGTAGGTTGTGAGTTAAGCTTTGGCTAATAATCTTCTCCCTAATTTTAAGAAAAAAATTAGGTGCTTTGACCCAAATTATGCATAAGTAGGTGAAAACGGGTAATTCAAACAACAACTTGCACCTTGACAACCCCCACCCCCCCCCACCCCCCCGCCAAATGTAGGACAAATATCCTCTCACACAGAGTGGGAAAGTGCCCGTTTGTGTCTCTCAGTCCTCCCCTGTCCACTGCTCATTTATTGGGCTCAAAGCCTTCAGTAACTCCCTGATTTGTATTTCCCAGTATTCCTAGCTCTACCCCATACATAGATCAGGGGCATCTCCTGGGCTTGGCTGGTGAGGCCGATGCGGGGAAGCCAACTCTTCTATTCCCTGCCTGGTCCAATCAGCTCCACAGTAGACCAGACAAAGGGGTACAAGTATTTATGACTTCATTTTGGTTTTTAATTTTTATTTATTTTTTTAAATTAAAAATAGTTTTTTTGGCTGTGCCACAAGGCATACAGAATCTTAGTTCCACGACCAGGGATTGAACCCACACCCCCTGCAGTAGAATCGCAGAGCCTTAACCACTGGACCGCATGGGAATTCCCTTTTTAGTTTTTTTACTGAGGAGAAAAACTCGGCTTGAAACCCTCAGCAAGGGTACACTCGGTGAGTCCAGCCTCGATGTCTACCCAGACGTCCTGCCCTGAGGTTTGTGCCCCTCTAGGAGACCCCTTTCGGGAAGCCCCTCCCCTCTCCATAGAATCCATCTCCTTTCACCGACCCCCACTCCAGCCCCTAGCAGGGGGTCACTCATTAGCTGTGGTAAGGGGGCTGGGGAGATGCTAAGATTTAAATGCTAAGGTCAAGAGAATAAATGGCTGTAGGTGGGACTGCAAATCTCAGAGACTCTTATGGCGTCTCTCCCTTTCCCCAATCCCCGAACTGCAGCCCAGCCTCCTGGTACATTCACACACACACAACCACACACTCACACACACACACACCACTCCTCCCAAGATTGACTGCCAATTGTCAGCCATATTACCAACGAATGCCTTAAGAAGGAAGGAGTTAGTTTTGTAACTGCCACATAATTTGCAAGGCAACACTCTCCAGCAGTCTGGACATCTTATCATTATGCAGAAAAATACAGAGTTCCCTTTCTCAGTCCCATCCCCACCCTCATCCTCATCCCCAGGCTATTTTATTTAAAAATTTTTTTATTGGAGTATAGTTGCTTTACAATGTTGTGTTAGTTTCTACTGTACAGCAAAGTGAATCAGCTATACGTATATATATATACGTATATATATATATATATATATATGCCCCCTTTTTTGGATTTCCTTCCCACTTAGGTCACCACAGAGCAATTGAGTAGAGTTCCTGTGCTATACAGTAGGTTCTTGTTAGTTACCTATTTTATACATAGTATCAATAGTGTATATATGTCAATCCCTATCTCCCAATTCATCCCACCCCACCTTCCCCCCTTGATATCCATATGTTTGTTCTCTACCTCTGTGTCTCTATTTCTGCTTTGCAAATAAGATCATCTATACCATTTTTCTAAATTCCACACGTATGCGTTATTATACAATATTTGTTTTCCTCTTTCTGACTTACTTCACTCTGTGTGACAGTGTGTAGGTCCATCCATGTCTCTACAAATTACCCAATTTCATTCCTTTTTATTTTAAATTGCACTCTTTGGGCCTGCTGGGGATAAGAGAAGGGGCTATTGTGGGGCAAGATACTCACCCAAGGCTGCTGTTTTAATAAAGAGATGCTCTGCTACTGCCGTTCCATTAAGGAATAGATTAACTCCTTATCTGAGAGCCTTCTTTACCCTCAATTTCTAACCAGGCAGGAGGGGAGCCCATGGATTAATCTTCCCCTCACAGAATACAGGTAATTGATGATCTGTGAGCACAATAGCCAGGTCACATGGTCTGACAAAGGATTTATTTTCTCCAAATCAATATTCATTTTCGTGAAGTCTTACAAAGGAATAAAAATCAAGCTGGATTTAAGTATTTTGTGCAGCAGTTAATGAATCACCTGTCCTGAAGAAAAGGAAAATGACACAAACTCTCTTGGAAAATTCAGCCAGCATGGTCACCATAGCTTTATGATATAGACTCAAATTAATTATGAAAAACAGTCAATTCCTTAAAGAAATCTTTAAAAAAATCTTGAACATAGGACCACGTATCCTGGTGAGACTAAAGTGGGTCAAAGGCAGAGCTGAATGCCAAATGATAATTTTTGCTAAATACTTCAGGCCATGTGAACTCTGATATTTTACTTACTTTGATGCATATAATGGAGGAAGTGAGAGACCCCATTCCTCCTGGTGCCAGATCCAATGTGTTTACACCTGTTGTGGACCTTGGTTTTCTGCGTGTAGTTCATATCCGCCCGTTTGTCCTGTGTTCCCAGTGCCTGGCAGTAGTGGTCCCTATTAAATATAGGTTGAAGTTAGTAACTGAGAAAGTTTTGATGATTATCATGGAGAAGAAAAAAGAGATTGCAGAGCAAAGACAATACAGACATTTCAAGAAGAAAGTCTATGGTAAGTTTCACATGCAACAGAGCGGAATGCGACAAAAACATCAGAGGCCTTGGGGCTCTCGCTAATGTTCTTTTCATCTCTCTCCCTCACAGGGAAGTGATGCCGACATGGTGGATAAAAACAAATGCTGCACCCTCTGTAACATGTCCTTCACCTCCGCGGTGGTGGCTGACTCACATTATCAAGGCAAAATCCATGCCAAAAGGTTAAAACTGTTGCTAGGAGAGAAAACCCCATTAACGACCACAGGTAGGTGTCTGAACAGTGATGGCTGGGAGACACTGAAACCCAGTGCCCGTCCCATTCATCAGGCTCCCTCTTCATGGGTGGCTGCCAGGATGAGAGTGGATGAGAGGAAAACCTAAAGGGATGAGCAGGTAGCCCAGCGGAACTTGTGCTGTCATAAGACTGTTAAATCCAAGTTCTGGTTCTCTCAACCTGGCCCCTTCAGATTCGTAATTCAGCAGTTTGCATCTTCTGAATGGCTGTTTCCATCCTGCACGATGTTGTCTGTCATATTTAACGTATATTATGTAAGATAATCTACCTATTATGTAAGGAACACTGTCCTTTCTAGTTTGGGTCTGTAATCAGTAGGGGTGATGGAAAGTGTATTGTATACATATTGCTTCCCTACTCAATCCTGGAGAATGTTCTCGTCTTCATGGGGATATGGAGAAGGAAAATGGGAGTCTTTAAAAGCACTTTCATGTGCTGACACCCGAGGTGCACCCACCCCCTCCCCCCAGATAACATTTCAGTCATCTTTGTAGGGAATCTTGTGATTCAAGCCTATTAACTTTCACAATAAAAAGCTTAAACCTTGGGCTTCCCTGGTGGCGCAGTGGTTGAGAGTCCACGTGCCGAGGCAGGGGACGCGGGTTCATGCTCCGGTCAGGGAAGATCCCACATGCCACGGAGCGGCTGGGCCCGTGAGCCATGGCCGCTGAGCCTGCGCGTCCGGACCCTGTGCTCCGCAACGGGAGAGGCCACAATGGTGAGAGGCCCGTGTACCGAAAAAAAAAAAAAAAAAAAAGCTTAAACATTGATAACAGATCATATGACCCTCTAGTTATTCAGAAATAACAAAAAAAAATTCTTCAGAAGTCTATTGTCATAGAACTAAATTACAACTGTTATCATTTAATCAAGATAGATTATTTGGACAAGATTTACATTGTGGCAAAGATGTTACTAGACTAGGTGATAATCCCAAGAAGTTGAGGGTGTATTTCATGATGTTGACTTTTTCAGTGCAATTACAAGGTAGCAGTGCATTGTATCTGGCTGCCTAATGCATCATGCATAAATCGTGGGTGTAATTATTTTTTCAATAGTATTTTTGAAATTGAAGGGAGTCTAAAACAATACTTGGCTTTTATCCTCAATGGGGTTTTTCTTAAGAAGAATATCTGCTTTTACCTGGAGACGAGCAAGGAATCTTTTCACTGCATTTTTCTACTTAGTTGCACTAAAGACTATTGTTTTTGTAAAGGTGGCTATGACATTCAGATAGAGGATGGCGTTGCAAAACACATTGAATTTGGAGACAAGCTCAGCTTGATTTAGGCACATTCTGTGTGTTGACATTTGATAAGCAGGCACTTGGTCGAAACTCTTGATTTTTGCTCTCTAAAAGGTTGGATACTCAACTTGTAACCTACTCCCCCTCAAATCTCTTAAAATAGACACCTCAAAGAAACAACCACTGGAAAGTTTTTACCTGTTCTCCATGAATGTGTAACTAGCCCATTTGTTCTCTCTGCCTAAGCTTAGTAGTGCTGTTAAAATTAATTTTGGAGGTGATGATGGAAGAGAAGAGGCTATATCTTTGTTTATCACATTAATTAGCAAATGGGAGTTATTATTTCCGTAAAAAAAATATCACCACCAGGCAAAAAAAATAGTTCCTTGTGAATTTCAATACATCCTTAAGATAACCAAGCATCGGTTTGTTTTTCTGAGTTATCCTGAGTTGTTAGTTGCCATCAATATATTCCAAAGGAAAAGAATCTAAAAGACTTGAACTGCAGTGTTTCCTTAATGACTTAGTCTTGGTGTCCATGGGGCTGGCCCAGTCCTCACTGTGACAGGCATCAAGTTGCTGAGTGGGTGAGGAGGGAATGGGGGTGGGCGGAGGGAAGGTAGCACGAGCTGTTAGCTCGTGGCTTGGGCTATGGAAACAGATGCTCGTTGTCTCTTCCCAGCATCTCCCTTTCTGCAGCTTAACCTCTTATCCATTCTCCAGAGCTGCTTTGAGCAGAAAGGATCGTGGAACATTGGTAACTTCAGACAGAACTGGAGAGCCTGGGAAGCTACATTGGTCCCTGGGCTGGCATTGTTGTCAAGCCAGCTGCTGGCAGGGAGCAAAGGAAGCAATGTGTCCTCCTACAGGGAGGTGAGTCACTAGGTACAAGTGTAAGCAGAGGGTAGGCATTATGTCCTGAGGCACAGGACAGAGGTGGAGGGTCTGATAGGAGGGTGGAATCCAGCAATGGAGATTCTGGGTACGGAGATCCTGCTGAGACTCAAGCAGGGTACCAGCATCAAGAAAGTCCGGCAGGTGGTAGCAGGGTGCTGGCTGCAGTCCTGGGACTCTAGGGGAAGAAAA